TTATGTGGTATGACATTATTTGATGATTCTTTGTGTTAGACTAGTATGATACAACAAATATAGATGTTATTGATAGCCGATGTATGTCAAAATGGGTGAATTCATATTATCGATAGAAGTGTTTGACTGATCTTGAAAGAACATGATGTATAAGGGAGATAATGTGACATGATCGTGAAATTATGAGATGTATGATTATAATGCGTGAGTCATAACTAACTGATAGGTGTGATTATAATACATGTATTGTAATGTATCTGAGGGTGTACTTATAATACATATATTGTAATACATGGATTTATATAAATCATAACTCACATATTATGACATGTTGATCAATGAAAAAGATGTGAAAAATGAAATAAGAATAATTAAGAAATGTTGAGTAAGTAAGTGTCATGAGAAATGTTGAGACATTGTATAGATAGTTACAGAAATACATTAGGGGTATAGAGTTCAAAGAAGATTTGGAGAATCTTGGGGAAATGATGGTGGTGAATGCTATTTGTAAATAGATGCACAATGATTTGCTGAAAGTAAAAACATTCATAGGCCACACACTCATTTCTTGATGACTCCTGATTATACTTTTGCTAAAAAAAGGTTAGGTCGGTATACGTGTATTAATGGAGTTGCAACTATCTATACTATGAAGTTATGAAGTCCTCAAGGGACCTCTAAGGCAATGAATATGAAAATGTGATAAATGTGAAGTAGTATATAAATTGTATGCTTATAATGTATGCATTATAACATATCGATTATTGTTATTATGATATATGTGTTGTAATACATCAACATGTGTAATTAGGACACATGTATTGTAACATATTGATTGATGTGATATAATACATGTATTATGACATATAGATCATTGTGAAAATGTATATGCTATTGTTAACCAATGTATGTTAAAAACGTATTAAACAATATTTTTAATATTATATAATTCTTCTTTTAAATAATATATTTAGTAGGGTAGAGAATTCTCACCTTTACTAATTATTTTCAGGAAAGATGAATGAGAAGAGAAATAAATATGATTGTTTCGGTCTAGGATCATGGTCTAGTGATCTTGTGACGAAAGACTACTATGTAGTATTTAAATTAATTGAAGTGTGTAATATTTTATTAAATTTTAATTTCAGTTAATAAAGTTATGTAATTATTAAATGTTAAATTTAGAGTTTATACCACTTTTGATAAATCTTGTTGTAAACATTAATTTAAAGTTTATTGATAAAACTAATGGTTAATTATTTTAAATTATAGATTGTATTTATTTTATAGAAATTTATTCTACTACAGAATAACGTTGTTTGTATTTTAAATTTTTATGTATGTATCATGAATTAAGTGAATTTTGAAAATGAAATGTTAGTTTACACTTTAGTTAAAAATTTGACTTTTATAAATACTTCTTTAAGAATTTTGAATAAAGTTTTCGCAAAATTGAATAATAGATAAAGTATTTACAATATTTATATTTCTTTATTATAAATTATGTTACAATTTAAAGATGTTACATCTTCGACTAATATAGTCCAACTAAAAATTTACACTTAATATTATTTCAATAGACTACATTAGTTAAAGAAACTAAAAATAATAATTTATAAAAAATAAAATTATATTTTAACAAAACAATTTACGGAAATCAAGTTTAAATTGTGAATTTTTTTAAAAACAAAATTTTTATTTTAAGCTTATCATATAATTTAACAATTATATTAATAAAATTTACTTTATAAAAAAATATTAAATACTAACTTTACACTTTTACACACGCATGATGCAACAATAAAAAAAATAAAAAATCATGCCTTGTTAATTCAATGGAATAAAAGTATAGCAAACGTGTTAAGTAGATGTATCTAACACTATCCAATACATGAAATGGAGTCTCTTTTAATGATTATAGGACCTCGATATTGTGCTAAAAGTCGTAGTTAGAGATTATGCTCCCTTCCTTTCCCTCCGACCATTTTTACAGCATTTGTGGTCTTTTTTAGCTTTTACTTTATAAAAACGAGGCATTGGATTCACCTCTCATGTTTACTATTGTCTTCTTGATTTGTTGCTTAGGATCCTAGAATTGAGAATTAAGTATATATCTCAATGTGGGGCATCAATAAGTTTGACTTGTGGTATAAAGTAAAGTACATGTACAAATATTGTCCACTAACCTCTTACAATTCAGTTACTTCAACCGCAATATTAATGATTTTAACACAAATAAACATTTTAAATGTCTGACAATAATTTTTTTGTCTAATACATTCTTTATGATTCGTATGCTGTAAATCTTTTACATTTTTATCCAAATTCATATCTGCTTTAATTTCTGCCAAACAAAACAAGATATCGCGTAATATACAATCTTTCTGTTAAACCCTTACAAGCTGATTTGGTATGTACTAAATTAAAAAGTCAAAACACTACCTGTGTTGTCTGCAATAAGCCAGTGTGGGACAGAGAAATTACCACCACACAATAAATATCTACAACAATTCAATTAAATAAGAGAAAAATAAGAATATGATACATGTATTGATTTGTGCAAGTTGTAAAGGGAAATATGGAATTACAATAAATAGTTAAAAGAGTGATGTGGTTGGTAGGAATGGGATGAAGAAAAATCTAACGTAGTAAGAGAGTTTCCAAAATTGTTTAAAAGAGGAGTTACCATAGATGGTAATGTGGAAGATAATATGAACAGTTCGAATCATGGATGCGTAAGGAAGGTGGCAATGTGAGAGTGAGAATGGGTTATTCCTGAGCCTCTGCTAGTCAATGCCAAATATTAAACTCTTTTTGACTCTTTTTCCACTTTCAGTGTCACGGCATATTGGCCCCACCGCTGTTTGTCTAAAATTCCAAATATCACCAATGGAATGGAACCTTACCATTTCCAATCCTTTACCCATTCTATCCAACCCCCACCCTCTATACTTGCGCGTGTTTACTTCTTCCACCTACTAATTAATCAGTGAAATTAAAATTTTTAAGTATAAAGTATATAAGCTTTATTATTTTGGTATAAATGAATTTAATGAAAGAAATAATAATAATAACATATTTTTAATGAAAAAAATTTTAAATACAAGAAATTATGTTTGTTAAATAGATTTTTTAAATAACTTGAACATTGAAATTTTAAAATCAACATTATTGCAATTTGTGATTATAATCATATAGTTTGATGCTGTATTTTTAGCCCGTGAATGATCGAGAAAGAGCTCGTATGCAGTGTGTTTTGTTTGTAAAGATGTAATTTAAACAGTTGTGAAATTATTTAAATCTTTGTGATCATTGAGTAATAAAATATATTTAAAAAAGCATAATTTTTATTAAATTAAGTTAATGAATATTGATCTTGTTTGATAAATATGTTTTTTTTTCTCTTTTTAGTATAATTATATTTTATTTAATGATAAAATAAATTTTAAATTTAGTTTTAAACTAGTTTCTTTAATTTTAAATATCAAATTATTTTAACTATTTTAAAAAAATTAAGAAATGTAGTTAGTTGTTTTATACTTCAAGTATTCTTTACTAAAAGCAATCAATAAAACCATACTATAGGAGAAATTTATGGGTAGCCCAAGATTTTGTAGTCCTGCTCACTCATATGCCATGTTGTCCAATTTTTTTTCTTAAATTTTAAAATTGTGACACATATTATGTTATAAGTGGTCAAGATTATATTGTTCTAAGCCATAAACTTTTTTTTCATATTTATAGATTATAGTCGGAATAATTCATTTTCAGTTGATTTATATACCCGATTGTAGGAATATAATTAAATTTATTTATGATATTAAATTTATCAATAATTTAAATTAATTTTAAATTTATTCTTAATATAAACAATTTTTAAAAATAATAATTTTCTTAACAATGATGTAAACTTTACAAAACTGGTATTTTTAAATAAGAGAAATAAAACTTAGGCATTAGCCAACTGTAATTGGTGATAGTAAATAAAAGTTTGCCAAAACATTATTTTAGAAAAAAAGATTATCAAGACTTTGAGAGTGAAAAAAATGGATTTTGGTGAATGCCAAAAACCTATTCTATTAACTAATGAGTCAGGTCATATTATGCAATAAATCATTCGAAGATTCGTTTTGAAGACATTAGCAAATCTAATGTGATTTGAACATACATTTATTTTCCATGTTTGTCTATATCAATCACCAATATACTATGTTTGATGCGAAGGGAAATTGAAAAGAGAAAAGAAAGCACATTTGATCAGAAAAGTAGAGAAGTTATTGTTTAATTTATTTGGTATCTAACGATAAAATAACTTTTCTTATTTCATTTAATTTTATGAAAACATAATATTAAGATGAATAAAACTGTGGGTCAACATTGCTTTATTCTTTCCTCTCCATTCTCACAATCAGAAAAGAATAAGGAAATTGCGAGAGAACATGTTTTCTGTCCGTCCAAATCCCGTCCTTTTAACTGTCCTCTTTGTGCCCAACAATGAACCATATCTAATTAATAAACATTTTCTTTTCCTTCGCCTTGCTGAATATACTAAACAGATTAATCAATGTTCCATTTTAAGAACATTTGTTGGCATTTAAAAAAAACATGTTATATACCTAAAGGGAAAAATATATTTTTAAAATAGGTGCATCGCACACACAAGAGAGCATAGCGCGTGGAAAGGCTGGCATTAATAAGGAGACGACTATGGTCCCAAAAGGTTATGCAGATTGATTTATTATTAATAATTAAAATTTATAAAAATAATATAAGTTTTATTTTTCATGTAATAAATCTCATTATTATTTCTATCACTTTTAAACCATTCATAAAATATATATAGAAAAGTGTATGAAAAGTTATATGATTTTTGTAAAATTAAAAAAATAAAAATACTTTTATTATCAATTTAAAGTTAGTCATATTTAAATTCAAAGAATATACAAGCTCAATTTCTTACTTTAGAATAGTTCTCGTTTTATAGAAACTAAATCCAAACTAAAACTCGTAGTGGTCCCCTCGAAAACATTTCTTACCAAAACAAAATAAAACGAAGTTAACAAAAGTCTTATCTCATCTGTTCAACTCTAATCTAATTTCATCTCCTCCTTTTCTCATTCTCATTCACCAATGGACTCCATGTCCCCAAGACCTCAAGAGAATCAGAAGGTTGTACCTGCTACACACAGCAATGGACTCCACTCTCAGACTCAACCTCCAAAGCCAACAACGAGGTCCGAACCCGGAAACCCATACCCGACAACCTTCGTCCAAGCAGACACTTGCTCCTTCAAGCAAGTAGTCCAAATGCTGACGGGTTCCTCCGAAACAGCCAAACAAGCCTCATGCTCCAAACCCATAAACCCGACCCACAGCATCCCACCCATCAAATCCATACCGAAGAAGCAACAATCCGGGTTCAAACTTTACGAGCGTAGGAACACCCTCAAGAACCTCAACATCAACCCTCTCATACCCCTTTTCTCTTCCAACAGAAAACCCGACATCCTCTCTCCCAGCATCCTCGACTTCCCCGCACTCGCTCTCAGCCCCGTCACGCCCCTCATACCCGACCCGTTTGACCGCTCCACCACACCCGGCTCCAACACTGCAAGCCCTTCCTTGGATGCAGAGGCTGAAGCCAAAGCTATCAAAGAGAAAGGTTTTTTCTTGCACCCTTCGCCCGCTTCTACTCCCAGAGACGCTGAACCCCGTTTGCTTCCCCTCTTTCCCACAACCTCTCCCAGAGCTTCAGGTTCTTCTTCTTCTTCGTCTTCTGCGGCTTCTTGAATTTCTTTTTCTTTTTTTTGTAACTCTTCGTTTTTCTGTAAGTTTCATATATGTGATTTCTGTGTTTATATTATTGCCATTCATGTTCATCAGAGGGATAGATTTGTTGTGGATTATGAAGAGAATCGAATAATCTTGCTTCAATTGAATGTAAATTTCATTGTGCTCTCTTTTCGTCATTTTATTAGTGATTAAAGTTAAAAATTAAAGTGAATAACACTTATTATTTTAAGAGCAAAGTGCTAGTTTACTTAAAAATTAAGCTATGTTTCCCTACACTGCTCCTATTCTCGTTCGTTTGCAAACAAGCTCGTGAAAGCGAGAGTGCGTAGGAAAATCTGCTTCTACTACGTTTCTCATTTGGTTTAATTTGTGTGGGGAAAGAATAAAATTTGAAAATGTGAATTTTGATTAAATTACCCACCGTTAATTTATCAATTATTATTATTATTATTAAAGTTGACGAGCGTGAGAATTGGAATTTCAGACGAAGAAAAAGTAAAATGAGAGAAATAAAATAAAATAATTATTTTCTTTATTTTTTCTAAATTAAAAATATTTATATATTTTCTTTTATTTTTGTTTCTTCTCGCCTAAACAAATATATGGGCATATGAGAAACGGAGGAGGGGAAATTGGCTTCCAGCTATAACTTTTTCTCCCGTGTCCTTTACACTTTTTTCCCACAGTCAAAACTTCAATTATTGCCCCACCTGAACTTGGTGACTCAGTTCACCTCAGTTTCTTTAGCTCGAGGGCCTTCATTATTAACAATACTAAATAATAATAATAATAATAACAAACTTTCCACCAAGTACAGTATTTGTTGAGATGGCAGCGTCTCTGTGGAAAAAAAGTGTTGGTCTGAAAATCAAATTGCAAAAGTAGCTTTGGGTTAGCTGTCCTGCAAAGAGTAGTATAATAGGGAAGGAATCTTGACCCTTCTGTTGTCTGTCTGAAGGGAAAGATCCCAAGAGAAGAGATGAAGATACGCATTATTATGTGTGCTTGTTGCTTGTTGTAAGCGTCCAGGTTTTCATGTACCACTGACGACCACTTTGTGCTTCTGTGCCCGAAACACTACCGCATGCTAACACCATTGAGCTATATGCACAGCTTGGTTCCAATTGAAAATAATCGAAATATGAAAAAATAAATTATAGCTGTATATGGTTGTTTACGGTGAAAATCTGTAGATCTTAAACAAATAAATTTAAGAATAATCTAAAACTGAATAGTAAGTTAACAATTAGTACTCTCTAGAGCTTGAGGTCTTTCTTTCGTAGTTATGGACAATATGTCTTCTTTTGTCAGTGATAAAGGTAACTTTTAAATTATTTAAGATTACGCAAAAGTATTTTATAAATATAAAATAAAAAGAATATGTAACTTTTAAAATTTACTTTTTTAAAAAAAAATTATCTCATGTTTAACTTTTAAAATTTAATTATTAATATTTTTATTCATTATTATTATTATTATTATTTTTAAAAGATAACTTATCTGTTATACAGTTAAAATTGTATGCATGTTATCTTTATTTTATTATTTTTTTCACTTTTACAATAATTTCATTTTTTTATTTTTTTATATCTCTTTTATCTAAATGTATTTTATATGACAAAGTTTATAACTTACAATATTTTATATTTAAATATATGTATCTATAAATTATTTTTTATATAATTAATTAGTTAATCGTAAATAAATAAACTAAATAATAATAATTAATTTTAATGTTATATTAATATAATATTATATGTTTTATGAGTTATTTAACATAAATAAATTAGTTATAAAATAATTTATTAAAAAAATTTAATTTTATAAATAATTTATATAATTATAAACTTTCAATATAAATTTACAGTCCACAATTTTTAGCTAGTTTCACCTTTAATTTGTTTTACTTAACTTGTTATATACACAAGGCAAACTTGTCGAATCACTAATTAATTTTTAACATGTTTTTTTATTGGAATTTAATTATAGAGTGTGGATGTTCATCATAACCTTTCCATTAATTTTGAAAATTGCCGCTGTTATGTAACAAGAAGTCAAACTAGCTTGATGGTTATTAGATGAGAGCAATAAATCCAGCCTTGGCGTGTACCCCGGGAGTGCAATTCCAGGCCATTGAAGTTTCTTTTTCTTTGATTTTGTTTTTCCTTCATGGCAAGAAAAATTATTGTGTAGTCTGAAATATTCTTATATCTATAGTTTTGACTAATTGTCACGCGATATGAGGTCAAGTTTTCAAATTAAGAGAAAGTCATTAAAATGTGATGGCATGTTGTATAATGATTGGAGAGATTAAAAAGAGCTCAGGGTCTTGAATGTAATGGCTTGGACAGCCGGAGAAGGCAATCATGCAAAGATAGGTCTTCTTTCTACGATTCAATATTTTTGACTTGAAGGTGACCAAAATTGATGCGAATGGGGCCATGAGAAAGTGAAGGGAAGGAGAGGAAGTGGGACTTGTGATGATGAAAGGAAGGAAAAGATGGGAACGGGAGAGGCTAATAACACGGTGTTGAGATGACCTATTTGTGCGTCTTGTTTGTTTGTGTGCGCTATGCATATGATTTTTTGAGGACTTCGCAACTCATGGTTGGTGGTCCATTTATTGAGAATATGAAACTTAACATGTGCACTGCTGGGTCACCGTTGTGGCGTTTTGCTTACCCTTTATCAAGGTCATCTTCTATTTCCTTTTCGCTATCATTCCTGGGGAAAATATAAAACATTTCACATGTGGCATGTTTTGATTTGATGTGTTATTGATAATCATCCTTCCAAAGTCCATTGATCTTATTACGTGATGACAAAAATTCAAGCATAACATCTTTGACTATATCTTCGCTAACTTTGAATCCACTGGAGTCACACTTCTGGTCCCCCACCCCCACAAGCAATACCATATGTATTTTAATTTTCCTTTGCCTTGATTCTATTATCTTTATTTATTCTTTGATTAATGTATACTTGTAATTTTCTTAATTTAATTATTCATATTTCATTTTTATAGGTTTTAATTGTTTAAGTCTTTATCTCAATTGTCATTTTATAAATAGTGAAATGTAATAAAGCTGTGACATAACATTAATTGGTGTGAATGAAAAACATGTATAAAATATCTGAATACCTGATTTTTGTTTTTCTTATTTTAGTTGTTTGCATTTAATCGTCTATTTTCTTTATTATTGAAGTTAAGTTTATCATTCTAAAATTTTATCTAATAATTAATAAAAATATAATACAAGTGTGATATATTATTAATTTATTTATATTAGTAAAAACTATATATAACATATTTAAATAAAAATAATAAATGAAATATATTAAAAAGCATACGAAAAATATTTTATTTTCTTTTTTCTTTATCAATGTTTCACGACAAGTTTTTGTTCTATTGCCATTAGTTATTATACGAAGTTTAAAATAAAATACTTATTTTTAACAATTAAAAAGTATGATAATTAAATGCAAATGATTAAAATTAAAAAAACTCAAATTATATATATCTGAAAATGTAAGAAGTAAATATACTTTTCTTTCTTTTAATGAGCAATCCTTTGAGATAAAAATATATGTGGGCACGGGCAATGTTTGGCATGTCAATTAAATGCTTACAACTTATCTTTGTAAAATTTTACAATGACATAAATATATTTTACGTTAAATTAAAAATAATTTTTTATATTATTTAGAGAAGTGATGTAGTAAGTTGTTACATTTTATATCAATTAATAATTGATGTAGAAATCTTTAATTCTTTACATTGGTTCTAATAATAACTAATGTAGAAAATAAAAGTTTTCTATATTAATTATTGAAGTCACTAATATACAAGTTTTAACATCGTTTAAAAATGATATTTAATATTATCTAAAAAACTGATGTAAAAAGTTAGAATATTTTACATCGTTTACATAACTGATGTAAAAAGTCTTAACTTTCTATGTTGGTTCTGAATAATCGATTTAGAAATTGTTTGTATTCATCAATAACATTAATATGAAAAATGTTCTTATTCATCAAGAGCAAACAACTTTTCAAGATGTAATGTTCATTAATGTTTGTTATCAATGTTCATCAATATTTTATTAAGGATTTAATCTTTATTACCTTATCAATGAAAAGTATGTAGTGTTTGTCGACAATATTCATCAATATGCAATGTTTGTTGTCAATATTTATTGCAATGTTCATCGTAAATATTTGTTGAGTTTAAAAATAAAAAATATGCAATGTTCGACAATGTCATGAACCAATGGGTTAATGAAAAAGAAAACACATAATGAAGCAAGATAAAATTATTCATGTACCTGATAGGTATTCATGTTCATCATGATGTTGCCAAAAATCTCAACAAAAGCTTAAAAATATAAGTAAAAATTTGTATTAAAAAATAACCAATATAAAAAGTGATTTCTTTTCTACATTGACAACTGATATTAAAAAGTTTTGTTATTTTCAAAAATATCACTACATATTTTATTAAATCAATTACTTCTCAATCAATGTAAAAGCCTATTATAGAAAACATTTTTTGTATTAGTAGAACCATATACTTTCTACATCGATTTTATTAATAACGATGTAGAAAATCAGTGATGTACCAACCAATGTAGAAAATTCAAATTTTACATCAATTCTAGTCATAATTAATGTAAAAAGACCTTCTATATCAGTTTTGAATTTTTTTAAAATATGTTTTTCATTTTATATTATATTCTAAAGTTTGAAATACAAATATTATTATGTATAAATGAATAATTTATGTAAAATAAAATTAATGGATTAGTATATAAGGACTTTGAAGAATCACTAAGTATCTAAAACAAAATTGGTCCAGTGTCTTTGAATATCATTAATTTCCTCTTCAGACATTAGATTACCATTTTTGAATATTTACAAGTTCAAATTACAAAAAAAAAAATATTAACTTCATATGCTATAAAGTTATATATATATATATATATATATATATATACACACACGTGTGTTTATAATAATAAATATACTTATCAATGCTCAAGAATCTATAATAATGGCTACGATGATAATGTACATATGTCTCATCACATAATATTTATACTTCCAACTCCCATTTTGTTTGTGTGGCTATAAGGAAATTAAAATTTAATATTAGACCCTAATAAGTAATTACTTAAAATTAAAAGAAAAATATAAATATTGAACAAAAATAGCAGTTAAACATATACGTGGACAGATCTATGTAGATTTTTTTCTCTTAATATGCTTACCCTTCAACACATTGCATGCTTCCAAATATTTATTTGTGATGAAGTTACCATTAGAGTAAATTAGGTGACCATTTGATTACATATAACATGTAAAACAATTTATAACAATTATAATTATAACTTCCACATTAATAGCGAGTTTGTTTATTGGATTATTCCATAACGAGTAAATGAATACTTTGTTATGTTTGAGACAAATTATAAACAATTGTCCGTGGCTTATACAAACCAAAATAGCCATTAAGGAAAGTAAAATCTATTATATAAAAGAAACTAATTAGCAAAAACTTACCCATAATGAAATAGTGCAAGGTAGCAATTTGTTGGGTAGCAATTCTTTGCTTGAATTATTTGTCCTTTTCCTTTTCTCCTATTATTAGTAAATAAAGTTAAATAACTACTTTGAAATTGTTTCTAATAAAACTCACTAGGAACCACTTTTCCTTTCTTGTTGACAGGATTAGGAAAAAAATTGTCTCTGTAAAAAAAAAAATCTTTGTTCTTAGCTGGTAGAGTAACATTGGCTCAATCTTGTCTTATGAGTATCTCAGCCTGTGTCATGTAATCTTTCATAGTCCTAAGATTTGTGTGTAATGAAATTACTAGCATATGTGAAAAGTTTATATGCAGATCCTTGAGTGGTAGGAAATGTTACCTCATCGATGGGATATAACTTGTGCTTCTAAAAATAAAAGGGGCTAGGCTTTAAAGACCTAATTACTCTAAATAAATCTTACATGATAAAGCTGGTGGAGGTTGGTTAATTCCTCTTCCAAGGACTTGTGGGCCTAAGTTCTCACCCAGAAATATAAATTTAAAATGGGTAGTAACAATTATCTTAAGAATAATAATAGGACATCTTACCTGTGGAAGGTTCTGTTGTCAGCATGATTGAGTTACAAATTCCAGTAATCTCTCTCATTTTACTACTTTCCAAGTTTCTACTTCTGAGTAGGAGTTACCTGTTTCCATGTTTACTAAAAATGATAAATGGGACTAGTGTAAAATTGGTTATGCCTTCCCTGTCCACATTTGCCAAGTTATTAGCCTAATTCAACCTCCTTCCATTACTTATTGTCATGATTTTGTGTTTTAGTCCATGAGCAACAATGAAATTTTCTCCATTAGATCTATTTACAAAATTTTAAGTCAGGATAGACAGTTTAACAGGGTGGACCAAGCCCTATTTAAAGCTATTTAGGGGTGGGAAGACCTCCAAAGATTTCTTTATTTATGTGGAAAGTAGCCCACAGAAAATTACTCACTAATGAAGAAAGAGTCAAGAGGAGAATGACAGATTCTCCTATTTGTCCTAGATGTAGAGAACTCCCATAATTATTAGGGACTGCTTCTATGCTAAAATTGTCTGAAGCCATTTTATTTTCTCTAATAAATGAGTTAACTTTTTTAGCTTTGCACTGTCATCTTGATTGTTAAATAACATTTCCTCTACTGTTCTTAGTAGGTTCAAAAATTGGAGTATGATTGTTGGGTTTGTTATATGGTATTTATGGAAGGACAAGAATAATTTCATCTTTCAAAATCAAATAACTAAGCTTGATCAATTAGCAATTAAAGCAATGTTTGATGCTGACTCATTTTCTTTGTATTGCAGAAATGCTTCATCTTCTAGAGGTTCAGATCATGGTGAGATTAGATGGCTGTCTCCCCCTTCTGATCACCTGAAACTCAACATTGATGGGGCTATGTCTAAAGCTAGAGGTGTTGCAGCCAATGGATGTCTCATTAGGGATGCTAAAAAAACTTGCATTTTGGATTTTATGACAAAATTGAGTATTGTTCCCCCTAGTCGCTGAGCTTTGGAGTAATTTTTTTTGGCATTTAGTTGGTTACCCAACTTAATATACCAACTAGATTGAATCTGATTCCAAAGAGGCAATCGCTCTCATCCTAAAGATTCAGCCTACTAATCATCCTTTATATCCTTTAATTTGTAAGATTAGAGGAGCTTTAAAAATCATTAAATTTGTTAAGCTTTTACATATATGTAGGGAGACCAATATATGTGCTTACTTCTTGGCCAAATTAGACTTAGATCTATTTGCCCTCATCTTTTATTTCTATGATCCTGCTCCATCTCTTCTCCCTTTCTTGAGTTTAGATTGTTATAATCTAATGTTCCCTAAACTATTTGTATAATTTTAGTTGTTGGACTTTTTGCTCCCTTTAATAGAAAAAAAAAAGTAAGATTTTTTTATAAAATGATCGGGGACTATAATTTTTTAAAATTGTGTTAGGACAAATAATTTTAAAAATTTATAAAATTTGAAATCAATAATAAAAATGTTTAAAAAGTGAATAAGCATGAGAATAATTATAATTAATAATTATAAAATATTAAACATAATAAAGAAAATTTTAAATTCTTTCTAAAAATATATCATTTAAAATTTTTTTGTACTTGAGATACAAATTCTCTAATTAAAATTTTAAAATATTCTAAAAATACTTTTTTCTGTTTACTAAATACATATAATCTAGTAATTTAAAATTCTTTTATTCAAACATACCTTTAAAAAATTCAAAAACTGTAATAAGCCACAAAAATTTCATATACTATATTATACTATATTATTATATTTTATTTTATACAATTTTTTTTTTACCTTTATATATACTGGTGTGAAGCACATATAAAAGATAAACATGTTATTTAACTTTTTTTTTTAAAGATCCCATAATACTTAAAATCTCTTAATATTTTCCGTTTCCTCCTCACGAGCACACACGTAAAATAATAATGCATATTGACAAATAAAAATAGAACAAGTTGCGGGTATTTGCATTAAATTAAACAATACCCCAAATTGTGTAAAATAAGATCAGCATATTAAATGCAAATTGTTATTCTTAAACTGGAATGTGAAAATAGTAGCCACTTGCAGTATGTTCCTCCTATGCCTTGTTTTGTTCTTGAATCAACTAGTGTCTCTGGCACAATGTGTAATTACAGAGCAACCACGCCGATAAGGATTGGCCTTACCCCTCTGATGGCAACTGTAGTAGGATCGTCCATGCCTAAGACATGGGACTTGGTTGGCCTTAAGGGCTTCGTAGCTAATGTACCTGATGCGCCTGTTCACATACAGCGTTCGACGGTGTGATTCAGAACTCATCAAAAACTCATTGTCGTCTACAAGGAGAACAGTGTCACCCTCATTCACAACGTGGATAAAGTCATGGAGTTCAGATGCCTCTGCCACCATGGCCAATGCCAAGGCCAGAAGGTGGAAAACAACCCACCCTTTGGAGTTCATTTCAGATTGGCAAGGTTGCAATGCAGAGAGCAAGATAAAAGGGTCTCTTAAATTGCTGTTTTCAGTGCCAGAGGCTAGGTTTGGAAAAGTAGAAGGTATATTTTTTGTGGTTGTGTGTGATTATTTAAATACTTATTTAATATATTTTTTAAAAATAATAATTTATGTGTTAAATTTAATAATAAAAATTATTAAAATAAACTAAAAATATCTTATAAAAGTCGTAAGTTATTTTTTATAAGTTGTTTATAAGCTCTTTTAAATAGATTCTTAGAATTCAATTGAAAGATTTTATGAATAGCTTATAAAAAATATTTTTTAAACTTTTTAATTTATTTAAATAATTTTTAATATAATTTATTAAAATAAGCTAATTTGATTCAATGTGTTTGGTGACCTATGGTTGTGTAAAGAAAAAGGCATGGTTTGTTGTGGTTAACATTTGTGACTTAATGTAATGTTGGGCCTAATTTTCTTCTCTCGTATGGTTTTGGTGACAAGAAATACTAAAGAGAGAAAGATAGCCGGAAAAGATTTGTGATTAAAATAGGTGTATGGCATGCATACATGCATATTGGCTAAAAGTTGAAAGCTATTTGTTTGCCAAACTGTCAATATATAACTGAATTAGCAATTTGAGTAACTAAAATTGACTTTCGCCTCCGAAGGTTCTATGCTTCCTATATTTGTGCTAAATTCTGCGAATCGCTCGATTCTGGTTAGATTGCACATGTTTTGTTCATGAGGCCCCTAATTAATTTTCCTGTTGCAGTTTGTACGGAAAGAATCTTGCAATACCATAAACGGTAACCGTCTAGTCCAACGATTCAACTGGATTTTTGCTCTATGGGTGAAGTGAAGTAGTCCCAACATGGGCTCTATTCTCATGGGCCTACTCCATAAACTCTATCCAAAGTATGGGCATACTTGCAGCCAATGTGGACGTTTTTTTATTTCCTCTTAATATGTTGACAGAAAATATATTTGGATGAAGAAAACCAAACTCAAAGGGTTGACTAGTAATTAAAGACCCATGCTAGCTCATTGATTTGGAACCTCGCAGGAATCAAAAAGATTAATTCTCTAAAGTATACTCAGATGAAAAAAAATTAAATATTATAACCATGAATACGTGTGGTCTTTCAAACAAAATTTAAATTATCTCTAAAACAAATTGTCCAGTTCTATTATTACTTAATAAAAATATAAAAAATAAGTGAAATTTATTTTCCCTATTGTCCATACTCAATTCTCTTTTTTACTGATTTTTATCAACTCTTTGTACTCAATTTTCCTCTTCTTTCCTTGTGTCCAACTCTTTCTTATCTCTATCTTCATCTTCTCTCATCCCCATATCGACTCTTCCTCCTCCATGTATTTCTCCCATCCTCCTGCATCCACTTCCACTGAGTCTTTTTTTCTCATTCCTTCACACTTAATTTTCTTTTTCTCTCACATATATCACATAAGGGAGTTTTAAATTATTTAAGTGATTTTGCTTAATTTTTTTATTTTTATTTAAGTTAGTCTAATTTTACTTAAATAAAAGTAAAACAATGAGAGAAATTTTAGATAAAAAAAAAATAGGTAGGTTTTAAATAAAGAATTCATAACTTATTTCGTCTTTGGTTTAGACAAGTCTAAACTACGATTCGGGTGAAAATTGGTTTTTTATATCATGTATCCAAACTATAATTTTGGGAGTTATAAATGAAAGCTAAACACCCTACCAGTTTCCAATATTTATAAATATAATTCATTCATATAACTTTGTAAAGGACATTTTGTGAAAGTCGAGACAACTTACAAATATTCCATGGCTTCTAATTCATAGACTTCCAGCGATGGCATAGCTTTATTAGTCTTTTTTGGTCTTCTGCTAGAGTGGGGTTTTTGTTTTTCAATTCTAATTTATAAATACCTCAACAATGCAGCACTTATTCAACACCTCCCATGTTTTTCTATTTCTCTACTTCAGTCATTTATTATATTTATTATTTCTCTCTCCCTGCACGTATGGAATATTTTCCTGAATTTTCCTCCTTATTTAGTGTGCTGTCTAATGTTTGTTTCAGTTTGTACTTTGTGAAGACATTGCTGCTGCCACTCAAAATGACCGCGCAGTTAGTTAGCAAAGGAACCTAGGATTCCCCTCAAATAGCGGTGGAAACCTTACAACTGTGAAGAATGCGAGTCAAAAACAATGAAAAAGTGGGTTATAGGAACCTAAGCCTAGATGACAGTGAAAGGAAAGCCATTAGTACAACTCCCAATTCATAACGCTCTCAAACTGTTGAGAAGAATTTATTTTCTAACGTTTCCGCAAATTGGGTCAAAAAGTCATCTTTGGCGACTGGGAAGCATCTTCACTATGACGTACCATTCTGCACGCTCAAATTTCCATTTGGCTTCTGTTAAATTTCCATTCCCGAGTGGAATACACGTGTCAAACCCACTTTAAACACTTTTACGCGGAGAAATTATATTTATTTATATATACACAATAAAATTATAAAAAAAATAAAAATAAAATGTTGCAAGAATATGTTACATAAATAAGTTAACGTTTATGATGTTAATATAATATATGATTACTTTATCTATTATTTAGTGTGGGTATAATTATATTAAAATAATAAATAGCTTGATTAGACAATATATTGAATATGGTTGAATTTTTCGTATAAATTTGTATAAAACTATTGCACACATAAACAACTATCCCTTTTTTAAAAAAAAAATTGAGGGTACCTACTTTAACATTTGAAAGTATTTTAAAATATTAATCTGTTATCTGTCAAGTAAAAGAATAGTCTAGCAATAAAATAAAATCATCAGATCTAGAACTCTCCCTTAAATTTGTTATACCTATTACATTTTCTTCAATTTCTTGTTAGAATTTAATTAATTTATATAGGACCTAACAAATTTAAATAAGCATAATATTTTTAAAAGTAAAAGAATTTGTGTTAATATTTATCCTATTATATAATATATTAAAATAGTACTATCGTATACGTGCGTGTGATGTCATATCAAGTAGTTTGAGCATAATTAAAATTTTATTACACCCTATACCATAAACTTTTATTAAATCTTGTGCTATCATGTATAGCAAACAACCTCTTGCAATCATAAAAGCTTTAGAGAACATATATAGATCGCATTTTCGTCTACAATGTGAGTTATTTATACTAAGTTATTGTATAGGTCACGTCATGCTTGTGAAATTGGTTAACCTTGAGATTACAGAGCTTATATGTTATTGTCGTTAAAATTATTAAATGGGTAGGCTGCAAAGGAGAGATCATATATGTCATACAGGTGGTACGTCCGCAATTAAACACTTGTATAAACTTTTATCCAACCACTAAATTAAAGGATATAGAAATATATCACGCTCGTTTACATTAGAATTATATCCAAAATTAGGTTGCTCATAATCCAATAAATCTTCCAGAATTGAACAGTGCTGAACTTTCCATTTCCCGTAACAGTGAAATCCAACCAAAATTTGCATTCACATCGACAATAGAATCGCTTAGAAATTTCAAGTTTCTTGTTGCTCCCGCAACATGCTTCTGTAATTTTATAGCCAGCCTAGGGTTACATAAAGTGCTTATCCTGTTATTCATCATTTTCAGTGAAATTAATTTATAAAAATACAGACACTATAGCGAATGGTGCTATACAGCTGCAACTAACATTACTAGAAAATTGCTTCCAAACCAATGAAGAAGGAGGCGAGGAAACTACCCTTTAGGCTCAGATCAAAATATGCATCTTCTTAAGCAGAGTAATCGCCTCAATTATAAGAACTTGCTGTAGGATGGAGATGAGACAAGTGGGACCCTTAACATGTTCCATGAATAATATGAACTTTGAATTTTGCCATGAAATGGATATCAAATCACTAACCAAACAACAACTTCGTAGGCCCCGCATGTCTCTATCCGTCAATACTTTTGGTAGATAGAAAACATTTTATAATCCAAGTCTAGCTATGTACTCTATCCACCTAAGCCAAACTCATGTCATGTGACTAGAAATTGGGTTGGGATATTATTATTATCTAACCCCAACTTGGTGAGATGATTACCCCCATGATCACGAATACGAAAGGGATACTAAGCGTGGTTAACGGTTGCTTTGCCGTACGCAAAATTCTTCCTACATCCATCAATGACTTGCCATAGGTATGATATAGTGGTAAAAAGTATCTATATATTTATGTGATATGCATATATGTGAGTTGTTTAATTCTTTAGTATTATTTTATAAAAACATGGTTAATATATGATCAATAGACTCAGGTTATTTAGTAGACCAATATGAATTTTCACCGATTAATAATAAAGAGTATCATATAAAAAAAATGTTAACTGAAACGTATTTTGAACATTTTCAATTAAACAATATTTATATTTATACATCTCACATTTACGTTTGTGAAAGAATCAAAGTTTAACAGCACAAATTATAAATTTATTTGGACTCACTCAAAAGTTAAATATATGGCTGCAACTAAACTGAGATAACTATCCACACATACCGGAAAAATTGTGAAGGTAAGGTCAATCAATTATGTCAAAAACTTAAATAAATCAACCTTGGCTTGAGACCAAAGTATAAAGTGTCACACATGGACTCCGTATGGCAACTATTCGTGCCAATGATGCAATTTTGTGTCCGACAATTTTCAGACTGTGTGAAAACAGGCAAAACCAACCAATATCCATATAACATAAGAATCTTCGTAGTTCCATTTTACATATTATCATAAATTTACGTTAATCAATTTTTTGCCAATTTGACCGTTAAATATTTCTTATATGAACTCCTCTTATAATTTAGCCTGAAGTTCTTGGTATTAGTGCATGCACACCTCTTATAATTTTTATCTAATTTGCATCATAAATTGCATTTAATTGGAGTGAAATAATGAATTTATATGAATTATAAGCATATGTGTTATAAGTATATGTGTCTAACATTGGTAGCTTTTCTATAGATTTATTCACACAAGCAAGAAAAGCGTGCAAGGTTTAACTTGACCAAGTTATTATTTTTCTTTTGGCGACTCAAAATTCAAAACGTCAGTCAAAAGACGCATATCTTTCACACTATGTACTATGTTAAGTGTAAATATATTTTGGTAACATTGGATGCGATTGAAAAAATTAATAGATAAATAAGGTGAAAGTAAAAAAATAATTAAAAATTGAAAAAAATGAAAATTATATGTGATAATTTTAAAAATTAAATGAATAATTTACACTTAATAAATATTAAAATTCTTTAATTTGTTTGAAACTTAACTTTTCTTATATACATTTAGCTACTTTTCAATAGTTTTATACATGTTTGGCGTTTAATATTAAGTATTTTGTGTTTGAAGTTTCACTACCTAGTTTTTCTTTATTATTTTGTTTGTAGGAAAATAAAGGTGGAGAATGGAGATAAATTACTTCCTGGAATGGGAGCTTGGAGTGTAAAAAGAGAGAATAATTGAAAAGTGAAGAAACGAATAATAATTGTTGTCCAATGAATGCTTAATATTGAACTTTGAAATTAATTATATTAGTGCAAGCGATTACATTCTAATTAGAAAATGGCAACATTGATAGGCCTTTTTTTCTTTTTTCTTTTCTCTCCACACTGTTTATTAAACGTTTAAACACACAAAGTTGAATGTAACTATACGGGTATGCTAAATTTAGGTTAAACATACTTTTGGACTTCACACACTGTTCTCATGAGTCTGGGAAGTATATACATGTTAATTCGGATCTTAGGAAGGAGTAAGGAGCTAGCTAGACACGCTCAAGAATATCCATTTCTTGGAACGTAGACTTTTTCTGTATCTTTTCTTCTTCGTCATGGTTTTCTTTTACCATTACGTGTAATTAAACTCTTAGAATTAAGGTTTGATGAATTTCTTTTAAATTCTTTATAATTTTATGGGTTTTTAATTCATTACTTATTTTTCGTTAAGTGCTTGCCCTTTTACTAGTTGCTTTTATGACTTGATCGCTCATAAATGATTTTAGAGTTAATTATACAATTGAGAAAATTGAGAGTCAAATTAGAAATAGAATTCCTCACCATGCATGTTGTCAATTTAGGAATAGATGATGATGTGCATGTTAAATTATTAAAAATAGATCACCATGTATTCTGTTAAATTAGAAATAGAATTTCTCACCCTGCTTAGTTATCGAACTGCAATGATTCCTCTATTATAGGAGAATCAGGAAATTAAAATATTGAGTTAGATCTAAGAGTCAATAAGTCAGGGAATTCAATTTTAATTAATTTTAGTGAATTTGACCATTAATAAAGACAAAATATATATTTGAATTAAGTTTTATTAGAGAGTAAAGAGGGAAGAATTGAGTGAAATTGAATAACTAATTTTTGCATTGTTGAATAGAATCCCTATTTCACTACCATTGTTTTTTGTTCTCGTCTTAGAAATCATATAAAAAAATAGAATTTAATTTTACTGTTACTTTTAAAAAATTATATTATTAATTAATTAGAAAACAACTTATATATATTAAAGTAATTATTATAAGAGAAAATAATTTTTAATCATATAATAATTTATAATTAAATGATAATATAAAACTTTTTATTCCATCAATTTATTTAAATTAAATTTAAAAATATTAATTTAATTTTTTAAATATTTTGTCTTTACATTTTAGAATTTTCTTCGATTTATAAACTTAATGCTACTAATTACAATAGTGTAAAGTGGTACTTAAAATAAAAGACGATGCTCATACTTTCGTTGTATTACTTATATTAAAAAGTCACCAACAAATTTTCTGATAAAATAAAAATTAATTGCCGTTCTGGGCTTACCACCTATGATGAAGGACCGAAGCCTCTAATTAATTCGAGAAAATAATGGCTTGGATTTGGGTGGGGTTGTTAAAAAATCTCACTCCTTTCTGTAAGCCGTGACTCAGCTCCTCACAAGAAGACACACTTCAGTTTTTGAGAGTATATGGAAATTGAATTGAATCCTCCCAACCACCCTGCAGCAGCCACTCGATCATGCACACCTGTGTGATCACACCTTTGTCATATCCCCCACGAAAATGAAAGTACTAATCACATAATGTGCCAATGTGGCATAAATTTAGATAATTAAAATATCATAGCAAAACAAAATATTATTTAATAAACTATAGACAAGTAAGTAAAAAATGTATAGATTATTTGTCAATAAAATTATTCATGTTAAACTAATTAAAAAAATAATATGTACAGTATTCCTATTTGAATTTTTTACTAAGTTTAATTAACATTTAGGAAGAGTAGGCTAACAATTCAGGAAATCTTTTTTTAAAAAATCATTAGTAATTATCTCAATGAAATAAATTAGGCACAAGGGACTGCTAGTTCTTTACTTCTTTTTTCGTGCAATGGTCTTGGCTACTTTCAGATATAAATCCAAACCATGATGTTATGGCTAAAGCCTTCTCTGTCACTTGGTTTCGGTTGCTTATACGAGCATTGGTGGGGAGTTTGTGCTAGGGAAAACGTGAATATTTTAAGAAAACACTTTACGGCAATAAGAGATCAAGTTTTTGTTTTTATTTTTATCTAGACAACTAATATTTTTCACACGAGTCAATTCTATATATTAGTTATGTTTGTTTGATGTAAATTTTTTTACGTGATTGACCTTGAACAATTGGTCAAGTATAGCATGAGCAGGTGATTATGTGGCGAGGCAAGGAGATAGTTTGTCTTGGTTCACAGGTGATCCTTTATATTTTTGGTCAGAGAAATAGATGATGATGATGATGATAATAATGATGATAAGGCTCTTTATTTTATTCGTTTCATATTTTGCTTATTGAATAGAAAATATTTAAATATGAAAAGCCAAAAAATGGTTAAGACGATTGTCTTGTATACAGTTTCATCATAATCCCACCTTTTACTTTGTCTGTTTCACAACTGAAACCTCTGCAAGTGGTCCAACTCTTCTTACTTCTACCCTTCCCCGCTTCCACTTCCTCTCTCAAAGGGGTCTCTACTTTTATGAATGTTCTAGCTTTGGATATTTTGGCCTCACTTTCTGGTTCATTGTTTCCAACTAGCTAACTGCAGCTACAATTCTTCACTCCAGAATATATCTTCTTCATTAGGTAATCTTTTTCCCCCCCCCTAAATTCTTGTCTTTCATTTTCTGAGTGTACTTTTTTGACCTTACAGGATAACAAAATTTGTTTTTTCTTTTGGGTTTATGCTGTGTGTCTTTCTTTGTTCATGTGGGTATTGGTTGGTTGAGGTGGCAGTTTAATTTTACCAATTCGGTTCCTATATGAGTCTCTGGTAATGAAACTTGCAACTCCCAAACTTACTTCTTGTCCCATGTTTTTCCCAAATGTTGTCTCTTAAGTATGGATATCGGGGAGGTAGAGAACTAATATGCAAGTCTGATTGATGTCTTAATTCTCAGAAAACACGGATGAACTTTCTCTATATTTTCTTTTTCTCAAACGATTCTATTTTCCTCTCCCTGAATTATTTCATCGCTGCTTATCCACAGAGATGATGATGGTCAACTGATTGCTCAGATAGGGTCATTGTTGTTTCTTTTCATAAGTAGTATTCTGGATAGATCATATTCATACCTTAGTTAATTATTGTATTTAGGGATGCGTGTTTGTTTTCCCGTGATGTGAAAAGACGGGCTCTTAGTATCATTTGCTTAATTGTCTGTTATGTTTTTTTGTCAGTTTGGTATCCCTTAAATTTGGGGAGGAAAATTCAGGGAAAAGTCCTTTTTTTTTTATGCGTTTTTCTATGTTGTCCATCCATCCTTGAATTTTTCTCTCTCATTTTTAAAGGGATACAAAATCGACCCTTTCTCTTAAAAATCCTGTCAATCTACTGATTAAATTTTTTCAGTCATTAAAACATTGTGACTGCTATTTCAAATGCTCTTAAGTTTGGCTTGATGTATGCTTGAAATTAGAGGAATTTGGAGAAACGGGAAGATAATTCAGAAGAAACTAATTCTTTGGCTAGCAATTGCAGATTTGGTATCTAGGAAGTGTTGGCAGATAAGATCAAGGAAAGATATTTCTAATCATTAATGGAATTGGAATCAAGTGCACTTTGTTCTCACAATATAAAGAACTTATTCTGAACTAATATAATAATCATTGACCACAGTCATTGATGTACTATTATTTCAAATTTTAAGTTTTGCGGGAGTTGCCAAATCCATTGAAAAATTCCATAGATAAATCAAATATTTTTTGAGATAACAGGACATCCAAAGCTCTCTTTGCACAAGCCTACAGTTTAGAAATTGAGACACAACCTAAAAATTGAATTAAATTTCATAGGTGTGATTCTGGCAACCTCATATCTAGATTTTTACCATGTTCAAAACTTGAAATTCAATATTAAGATATTTATATTCATATTCTGTGGTTAATTCTGTTCTTGTACCAAGAATGGGACCACCTCCTATTAAGTATGGTTTGTGCTAAGCAGATGCATTACCCTTAAAGGAATCCCTTCAGTTTTGACCATGACAACAAATCTATCTCCTTCTCCTGGATTTCATAAAGAAGAAAAAGTTCTCTTGGAGGTGACTTTCTAAAATTAACATTCCTTGTTATGCTTTAGTATTGAGGAAAGTAATTTAATTGATATCCTCAACTTTCAACTTTGTGGAATGTTCAGATTGGGACTTCCGAAAAGCAGTTGTGGGCATTGATCCATTCTAAGGGCCTTTTGCACTCAGAAGTTCAAGACTTGTATCGCAAGGTTCGGTCTAGTTATGAGAGAATGATTTTGAACAATCGTACACTTTCAGAACTTCAGGATGTTGAATATTCTTTGTGGAAGCTCCACTATAAGCATATTGATGAATTTCGCAAAATAATAAAGAAAAGCACCGGTAATGTGGACAGCAAAAAATCAGGAATGCCACAAAATCATGTTGGGCAGAGAGACAATGATAATCATTTAAGGTTGTTTAAGTTATTTCTGACAGAAGCTATTGAGTTTTACCAAACTATGATTGTAAAACTCAGAAAACATTATGGAGTCCCATTAGAGGCTTTGTTTTATAAAAAGGGTTGGATCTCTACTTCTGTTGAACCAGATGTCAGGCTGAAATGTCAGTATTTATGTCATCGATGTTTAGTTTGCATGGGGGATCTTGCCAGGTATAAACAACAATGTGAAAACCCTGATATTCAAAATCATAATTGGTCTGTTGCTGCCACCCATTATTTGGAAGCAACAAGGATTTGGCCAGATAGTGGCAACCCACAAAATCAGGTAAATGTTTCTTATCTGTCACAATGTTGCATGAGTAACTTTTATCCTCTATTTTTTTTTCTTTTGTTTTTCAAATGATAAACCTTTTTCATTTGCAGTTGGCAGTACTGGCAACATATATTGGTGATGAATTTCTTGCTCTGTATCACTGTGTAAGAAGTTTAGCAGTTAAAGAACCTTTTCCTGATGCCTGGAACAATCTTATCTTGTTGTTTGAAAAGGTAATATGATATTGAGGCTCCTTAATATGCTACAATTCATTCTGCCTATATGTTCAATGTTTGTAAGCTTCTTAAACTTTCATCTCCTCAAGTGTCTCTTATAATCTTGCAGAACAGGTCATCTCCTCTGGCATATGTTTCCAGCGAAGTCTGTTTAGATTTCTTAAAGCCTTTTCAAAATATTGGTGAAGTGGCCAAGGCACAACGGAATGTTGATAGCTCAAACTGCCACAAATTTGAAGGCAAAAGTAATCTTTTTACAGACACAAAGTTATGGTCTCTTATGGTCCGAACAATAAGTTTCCTCTTCATAAGTTCGAGGTATATCTTGGATTCATTTCATTTTGTTTCAAATTTTTCTTGGTGTTTTGTATTGTCATTTTACTCTCTGAATTTCCCTCTTGTAGTTAAACTGAGTTGTGCAAATCCTTGACTAGTATTACTTGAACACATCTACTGAATTCATAGTTTACAATTACTTTATTGTGTAGGGTTTCAAGCTGCCTCAAAGTAGTTAATATTTACATTTCCTTGTGAGTGGATACAGTTTATGTTGTGAGCATCATATAAGAGTTTTTTTTACACCTTCACCTTAAAAGGAAGATACTGATAATAAGTTTCTAACTACACTTTAATTATTGCAAAAGAAAACAAAGAAAATAAAAGAGAATTACTTCTGTTGTTGGTAGTCCAAAATATTTAGAATTCTAGATGCTCTACTGAATTATAAGCTGGTTCTGAGGTTTAAAGAAGACTGATTCTGAGCTGTCTTCTGGACAATTAAATATCGCAGATGAATCAATTTTACAGTTGATTTTTAGAGGGAAAAGAAAACTTTAATTTGCATTTGTAAAGATATTAATGATAGTGCTGTCGTTAACATATTTCATTTTTCAATATTCTCTTCCCTTTATTTTGGGTAAAGTAATATTTCTACTTTCCAGTAGGATGCACTAATATGACTTTGTTTTCTTGGTAGTAAAACTTGTAGAAGTGTCTATACTGTTTTATGTTGTCTGTTCATGTACATGCATATGTTAGATGCAGGAAGTTTGAAAGCAGCAAGTTCACTGTTAACAGTTAATTATATAAAGAATAAAAAACATAGATACTGGAAAGCATATTTATGCTAGTATTGGGTGTAATATATTTAGCTGCATCATCATATGTCTATGTTGTTAGTTTATGCCAGACTGTGCCAGACCAAACTGTTCTGCACAACAAATTCCTTATATAGTGCAGGTTGATGTGTACTTTTAGTTCCTTTTATACGTGTTCTGATGTGGTTTACCCCCTATCTCCTGAAGCAGTTTAGAGGATTTCTCTGGTGCATTGGCATCTACAATATGGGAGTTGGATAAAATGATGGAGCTAGATGATATAGAACTAAAGACCATGTTGGAATCATATAGTCAAATGGATTTAGCCAGAAGAGGTCCTTTCCGAGCCATACAAGTAGTTTCCATTCTCATATTTTCCCTAACAAATCTACTTGATAAACTTGGAGAAAATGAATCAGAAGACAAAAACCATAGGCAGCTGATGCAGATGGCATTAACTGCCACATTCAGCTTCATGGGACGTTTCATTGAAAGATGCCTGAAGGCTAGTTCATTGAATCATTGCCCCTTGTTGCCCTCAGTGCTTGTCTTTGTGGAATGGTGTTCCAGCATGCATGAAGTATATGCAACCGATCAAAAGAGTATAAGAGCCATATCTTATTTTTTTGATGTGTTTGTTGAACTTCTAAATCAACTAAATAATGATAGAAAGGAAAACGAGAAGCTTCTTCAGAGAACTCCTCTCTGGGAGGATTATGAGTTGAGGGGCTTTGTGCCTATAGCTTGTTCACATCTCCCATTAGATTTCTGCGGTAACTGGGAACACATAGACAATTTTGAAAGTGGAATTGAATTGCGTACTGAGCGCATTAGAGAAGCAGCAAAGAAGATTGCAAGTAGATCAAATGATTTGCAGAAGTGGATAACATGTGACAAATTAGGAAAACAATTTTATGTTGCTAGATCGGATGAAGATCATGACAAGAAAGAAACAGAAAATGTGGAGTCCAATTGCAATAGTACAAAAGTCAAAGAGCCTAATCAGCAAACTAACAAAGACACAGCAGAACACGGTAAATGGATGACAGAGGATAATCCAAGTAGCTTCAGCACCAATGGAAAATGTTCTGTAGTGGAAGATGAAGAAGTTATTCTCTTCAGGCCTCTCACAAGGTATAATTCGGCACCATCATACCCCTCTATTTCAACAGATGAGCGAATGTCACTAAAAGATAAGGATGACCAAAGCATACCATCTGATGAGTGTTTGCGCCGTGCTACATCTCTGCTTATGGCACAAAACCCAGCTCCAACTCCAACTGATCCATGGGAATTCCATGGCAGCATTTTGAATTTCACGAGTGAGAAATCATTCAAACAGCAAGAACCTTCAACAAAGGAATCAAATGCAAACAGTTTCTCAGAGACTCCAATCTCTGCTGGCCCTCCCTCACTCAATGCTTGGGTCCTAGATAGAGGAAGCTTGAGCAACAACAGAAATAATGGGACAAATGGTCTTGGTGAGCACAGGTTGCAACCCATTGAGGAAATAGCTTCTTCTTTGGCTGGTCTTTCCATAAATAAAACTGAGAATTCAGTCACAAGTTCAGTGAATGAATCTTCAGACTTCCATTCATCTTCTGCTACATATTCTCTCCCAGTACCTTCTGCTCCATTATTGCCTGATAATGCTACCTGGTTTACTGATGCACGACCTAGTTTATCTTCTCCATTATTTCAAGACAACTCATTGCCAAAAGCTGGTTATTTGGATTGGAGTTCTACCTATGGACAACATGGATATGATCCTAGATTTCCTGTTATTTCCAGTGGATACCCACCACCTGGAAGAATGACTTCTTCAGAATGGCTGCGTTGGTACCGAGAGAATTACAAACCAGATAGAGCCAACAATTATATGCAGCCAACACATTTGAATACTCCTGTTCCTGGAAATCATGTAAACTTTCTCTATCATGACACTTACAGGTTTGATCAGTTTGATAGATGGGGCAACCCTTTGTCCTCTACTCATTACACGTATATGGAGCCGCCGGGGCCCCCACCATTGCAGCCTGCCTTTCTGTCGGCTTATGGTGCAGTTGAAAACAAAGCCAGTGTGTACAACAATTTTCAAAGACCAAGCCCTTATGGTTGCGGTGCTGTGACAGACCTGAGAAATGAGCCACAGCCACTGCTAGAGTGCTTGAAGGAGAAGGAATGGCAACTCCAGCGAGATCCTAACCTAAGAGGACCCACATTCATGGGAAATTAGTTCTCGTTTGCAACTTTTGTTCCACGCACCATTTTAAGAACTGTACAACTTGGTACAAGCGTAGATTAGTATAAATGTGTGCATATATTAAGATGTTTTAGTCGTTGTCGAGGAATTCAAAAGAAAGTGGATGAGGTATCCTCCAATCAACTTTTTATCTCATTCAAATCCACATTTTTATTCATAATCATTTTGTTCTAGGATATTATGCATGTAAAATATGTGAAGTTAGACGACGTTTGCTCAATACGTTTACCCTGCAGGTTTCCTGCACAAACTGACCAAGTCTTTATTAAACATCATATTCATTTGATGGACTTGTCACAAAGTGTTCTAGATATAGAAACAACCAGAAAGTGGAAATAATTACTAAACATTATAAAATGATACATAATATATTCAGAACAATTTTTTTAGTGAATTTCTTCACAGTGAATGGACAGAAACCAAATCTTTGAGGGCGTCGTGACTCACGAGGATTGAGTACAAAGGTCTACCCGAAAGTTGTTCAATGAACTAGATGTTCAGAAGGTAGGAAATACAAAATTACAACACTTTTACAATATTAGTCTTTGATCGTCTTGTTGCAAATGTCACAATCTGTGCATATAAATTTTGAAAATGTTTGATGCAAAAATAGATGAAGGAAAGATTAATGGATACTACCAAACACCTGAATTAACTACAAGTATTGAGTTGTTTTAATTTAACTTATGATCACGAATTTAAAATCTAACAAATATAATTGTGTTAAATGCTAAAAAAGAATTTTTGTTTATAATGATTTTTTGCTAATTTGAACCTAATTGTCTCATGCAGAGGATATTGATATGTAATCAATGTTAATGTAGGTTGACAATTATCTTCTTTTTGTGAACTTTTTAAAATATTATTCAAAAACATATTTTAAGATTTTGCTTTTTATGATACTGAAATTTGAATACCTTCAAACATATATGCAGCTGATCTTTTAATGAATATCTCATTATTTTAAATTTGAATATCATGAGGTAAAATTTTTATTTGATTATCTAGAATTAACTTCAAGGATTTTCTAATGCTGAGCTGTGTAGGATATAACTTCTTCCTATTATCATATTATCTTCGAGAATGATCATAGTTTGATTTTGATATTCTAGCAGTAACATCAGAATGAGAACCTTGGGGATATTTGATTTATGTAAATTCTGATCCATAACTAAATCTTTTAGGAGACTTTTAAGGCATTATAACAGGATTGTAAGGCGGTGATAAATAAAAATAAAAAAGCGACATCGCAACTATATTTATTTTAAAAAAATTTAAAAAAAGAAAAAGAAAAGACATTTAGACAAAAAGAAGATAATTATTGAATTTACGTTTTTTCTATTTTGTGAATATTTTAAGAATTCAAAAGGTTGATAAGCAAAAGTATTTAGTTAACAACAGAGTAGTTATTAATATGACTTACTATTATTAAATTTTAATACATTTTTATCTATTTTTTTTTATTAACTCTAGTTTTTTTTTTTTTAGTGTATACATTTAATAACATAATGCAATCACATCATTACAATTATAGATATATAACCTTCTCTAGAATGCTAAAAGTAATATATCAATAGATCATTGCATCTTCAAAAAAACATAAAAATAATTTTTTTGCAGTGGATATTTGTGGTCAAAGGTAAGATGTTCAACACTATGCAGTAGGTCATAGAATGGTGTTGATGGGGGCGACAGTAGGAAGATAAGAGGGTGAACTGAAGATGTGAGGATTGAGTTAGTGAGTGAATAATAAAAGAGTGAATTTGGCTCTTCTCAACAAGAGTATGAGCTGGAGGAGGAGGAGTTGGAGAATCATGGTTATGTGGCTCTAGAATAAGAAATATAGGAATATGAGGGTGAATAGAGAATGAAAAATGTGAGCTGTCTAAGAAGGCGAAGTGTTGAAGTTGCGATGGAGAATGAAAATTAGAGGAAAGAATATCAAGCTCTCTTGGACAAATACTATAAAGGAGCTTACTAAAAGCATAAACAATGTCAATATTAAAACCATTTCTCTATTTATATATTTAAAAAATAAAAAAATATTAATATAATGGGTGAACTTAGAATGAAGTTAATTTATAAAAATAAAAACTAAAATTTTTAGTGACTTTTAGTTATAATAAATAAATAAATAAATAATTATATTTATTTTTTAATAAAATTTTAATAATTACTAAGAAAAAAATTATGCATGACAATTGAAATTGAAAAGAGAATATTAAAAAAAAGTATTTACTAATATAAAAAACGATTCACTATATAAATAATAATAACAACAGTATTATTATTAATAATGTATTAAAACGCTAATATGCTAGCTTATAGGCCTTTATGTTATTTCCAAGTAAATTTCATTATTATTGTGTGTAAAAATAAAATTAACAATAATAATATTTTATAATTACGGTAAAAATTTTAAGTAAAGCTATCAAGATTCGGATTAATTATGATATTTCTTATATGAAAATAGAAAAATAAAAAATGTTATCTCTAACTTGTTATATAAAAAATCTCGTACTTATAATTTTTTGAGAAATAAACACATTGATTTAGCATTTGACGCTTAAATTTAAATTGATGGAATATAATTTATTTGATAATTTTTATAAAATTAGATTTAAAATTTATTTATTTGATTCTTACATTTTATTATCAAATATTTCTAAGCGAAACTAAGTATTTTGAATGCAGTCAACTGATAAATAAATTAAAATAAGTATTTTCTTTTTTACTTTGAAATCATATTATTATTATTATAATCATTGAATCATTTACTGATGAAGTCACATTTCATGAATGAGCTAATGTTATGAAGGTATAAAATCGTTGACTGTGATGTTATGTTGTCAATATATTGTTGAGTTATTTTGTTTGTACTTTTTAAATTTGTTTTCAATTAAAAAAGTAATCTAACATTTCTATCATGTAAATTTAATTTTGCTATGCAAATTTTGTTGACTTTATTATTTGATAATTGAAATTTTTTAATTATATTATGAATCTTTTTAAATTCCCATTACCAGTATTTATTATATTAAATAATTTTAAAATTTTCTTTCTTTTTATTTAATTTTTTTCTATATTTGTTCTCTCTTTTTTCAAAATATATTTTTAAAAATTTATATGATATTATATTTTAATCAATAAGTTATTATTGATGCTTTAAATTATTTATTTATATAATAATTTCAATTTTATATTTACATGATTAACAAAAAATTAAAATTTTAATGAAATAATTTTTCTTGCATTAAAATATGTTATTCAGTTAAAATATTAATACTTTTCACTTTGACTAAATATATAAATTTGATATATAAATTTTTAGAATCAATTAGCAATATTTTTCTTAAAAAAATTCTCAAGTTAAACAAAGAAAAAAAAGTATAAACGTACGTGATGAATATTTTATCTTGAATACGAAGTAAACTTTTTAATGTTTTGTATCTTGAAATAATTTTAAGGATTTTTCAAATGTATTAACTCTGTATAGGATATAATGTCTTCCTATTGTTATATTATCTTAAAAAATATCATGGTTTTACACTAAAATTTTATTTTATATGAATTTTGATCCATAACTTAGAAGTAGTTTGAGGAAACTTTTAAGGGCGTTATAACAATATTGTAAGGTAGTGATAATAAAAACTAGGGATAGCAATGGGTAAGGTATTATAGTACACATCCCCATACCCGCATTTTAAAAAAATACTCGTACCTGGCCCTATACCCGCGTGGATATGAACATTAATCATCGTACCCGTACTCTCTGGGTACCCACATACCCATCTTGTATCCATTACCCGCGCTTGTTTGAGAAAAAAATATTTATAAAGAAAAATATGTTTATATAACTTCACACAAGTAGCATAATAATATAAAAATTCAATATGTAGTTGCCGAACAAGGTACAAATATAGATAAAAAAAACAAATATTCAAAGATTATAAATGTTAAATGTATCTTAATATAATAATTTTCTAAACTAAAATTCTTAGAAATAATAAGGGAAACTAAAGACACAAGTTATTTGTCAGTTATAACCCTATCTTGTGTGAGATTTGATCGATTGTCAATGTCAGAGCGACAATGAAATAGATTTGTACAATAGTTGTCCTCTTGGTGACCTCTTGTGACGGCATTAACAACTAACTCTAATGAATAACGTTTCATAGTTGTTAGGTTTTAATGATACAAACATTGAAAATGAGAATAGAGTTAAAGTAGAGAAGTTCAATACTAATAACAGAAAGTGGATACATAAAATATTTTTTTTAACTTTTGAATTTAAAATTGTAAGAAAAATAATAGATTTAATTAAAATAATATAATTAATATATATATATATATATATATATATATATTAATACTAGTATTTTTAACTCATATACTATATGAAAGTATTTTATCAAAAATACAAAGTTTTGAAAAATTATTTTAATGAATTAAATATTTATAATATATATAAATTTTAAAAGAAAGAATTTGAATAAAAGATAAATAGTTATAATAAAATTTTATAATAAAGAAATATACATGTATATTAAAAAAATTATACTTTTTTATCTGAAAAAATTAACAAATAAAAATTAACAATATTTTTTTTATATTTATATCTTTTTAAAAACTTTTTTGAACGTGAATAAATAGTAAGAATAATATTATTTAGATTTAATAGATTATAGTTGTACTTGTAATACATATATTGCATATAAAAATATTATTTTAAATTAAAATATAAAAATTTAAATTTAAATATTATTAATAAAAAATAAGTTTACGGTAATAGTAGATGATTGTAAAATTTATAAAAGATTTACAATATATTTATTATTTATCATTCACTGTATGATTTAAACATCAATATGATTTTATTAACAAAAATATTTGTGTAAAAAATATTTTATGTGTGTTATATATAAATAATATTTTAGAAAAAATCAATCTCATATTAATTATGTAATAATTAAATTGTATTAGCCTAATTAAATTATATAAAATAGTAAATAAATTTTTCTATTAAAAATATAAACCAAAATAAATTTTTTAGTTTACTTTATTATTAAATATATTTTTATATTAATCTTATATAACTTCACATAAGTAATATAATAATACAAAAATTTAGTGCATAATTGTAGAATAAAGTTCAAGTATATATATATATATATATGCAGGTATGGGGCAGGGTGGGTACCTAGATACCCGTACTCGCACCCATCCCATTAAATTTTACAGGTTTTTACCCACACCCATATCCATACTCGTATAGCGTGTAAATATCCTACCTATTATGGGTAAATTTTGCAAGTACTTTACCCATTGCCATCACTAATAAAAACAAAAGTAAAAAAAGTGAAATTTGTGCTAATATTTAATTTATTTAAAAAATATTAAATTAACTATTTTCTAAAAACAAAAAGCAAGACAATTGTTGCATTGATAATTTTGTTTATTTTGTTAATATTTTAAGAATTCAAAAAAATGATATGCAAAAATAATTAGTAAACAACAAAGTGGTTAGTCTTTAGTTCATATGCCTAGTTAATTTGATATTTTAAACAAATTTATTTTATGTAAAAACTTTTTATTAACTATTTTATTTATTTCAGTCTTTAGTTTAGTAAAATAATATATTTGTAATTCTTCAAAACTAAAAAGACACTTTTATTTTAAGCAAAATTTATTACATTCAATTTATAGAAATAATAGTAATGATAATAGTAATAGTAACGATGCAGAAGATTAATCATTGTATAAGTAGAATAATGAATAAGAGTCTTTAAATATATTTACAATTAGTCTTTTAATGAATATTTTTTATTTTACACTTCAATTCTTAATAATTTTAGAGACAATTATTTTTAACAATTTTATAAACTTAAATATCATGAGGTAAAGTTTTAATTAATATTTTTTTAGATTAATTTTAAAAAATTTAAATGTTCAACTGTATAAGATATAACATCTTCCCGTTATCATATTATCTTCAAGAACATGATAGTTTGATTTTGATCATCTAGTAGTTATATCATAATAAGAACCTTAAAACTTGTTTGATTTAAGTAAATTTTAATTTATAATATAATAAATCGTTTAGAAGACTTTTAAGGGCATTAAAACATGATTGTAAGGTGGTGATAAAAGAAAATAAGTAAAAAGGTGAAATTACTACCAATATTTATTTTATTTAAAATTATATTAAACATTTTTAAAAAACAAAACACTCAAAAAAAAAAGACAATTATTGCGTTGAACAATTTCTTTTTATTTTGTGAATATTTTAACAAATAAAAATATTGATAAATAAAATTATTTAATTTACAATATGCTTTTTAATTTGACTAAACAATATTAAATTTTAATAAATTTATTTTGTGTATAATATTTATTAACTCTAGTTTATTTATTTTAGTGTATAAATAATAACATAACATCTCTTTACTTCTTCAAAACTAAAAAGACACATTTTTTTATTTATTTTTGAGAACTAAACTAAAAGAATTAGATAAATAAAAATTAAAAAATCACATGTTTATGAATAAAAATATTTAAGCACAACTATTATATTTTATAAACATATATTCAAAATTAGCAAAATAATAAGTAAAGTAATTGTTTTATTGCAAGAAAAATTTATTACATCAATCTTATTGTATTTAAATTTCAAATAGAATCACATCATTACAATTATAAGCACGTAATCCTTCCTTAGAATACTACAATGTGATATATCAATAAATTAACACATTTTCAGAAAATATAAAAATAATTTTCTAGAGTGGGCATTTGTGCTCAAAGGTATTGAGCAGGAGCTGGAGAATGGTGGTGGTGATGATGATGTGGGGAATGAGCTGGTTTATAAGTAGGAGAGTGAATTGGAACTTTCTTAACAGGAAGAGGAGTAGGGGTTGGAGAGTGGTGGTGGTGGTGGTGGTGGTGGCGGCGGTGGGGATGATGATGACGTGGAGGATGAGCCAATTGGTAAATAGGAGGGTGATCTCGAGTCTTCTCTAAAGGAAGAGGAGCATGAGATGGGGAGTGGTGATGGTGGCGGCGGTGGGAATGATGGTGTGAGGACTGGGTTAGTGAGTCAGGAATCAAAGAGTGAGTTTGACTCTTCTCAACAAGAGTACTATGAGCTGGAGCAGGAGATGGAGAATCATGGTGATGTGGCTCTGGAATAGGAAAAATTGGAATATGATGGTGATGCTTACGACGAAAGGGATCTGGGAAGTGAATAGGGAATGGAAAGTGTGGACGACCCTTAGGGAAGCGACGAAGTGTTGAACTTTCATCTGGAGAATGAAAAGAAGAGTCATCAGTATCAAGCTCTTGAGAAAACACTCTGAAGGAGCTCACTAAAAGCATAAATAATGTCAAGATTGGAGCCATTTCTCCACTTTGTGTATTTGAGGGGAAGAAAATATTAGTATAACGTGTGCACTTAGAATGAACCTTACTTATAGAAGTAAAAACTAAGAATTTTAATGACTTTTGGTCATAAAATAAATGAAAAATTAATTACATTCTTTTTTTAAAATAAAATTTTAATAGTTACTAAAAAATAATTATAGATGACAATTGAAATTGAAAAAATATATTAAAAAATCATTTTACTAATGTGAAAAATGATTCACTAAATAATAATATTAAAAATATATTAAAACGCTAATATGATAGTTTACATAACTTTATCTTACCTCTAAGTAAATTTTATTATTATTGTGGTGTAAAAATAAAATTAATAATAACAATATTGTATAATTACAGTAAATTTTTAGTAAAGCTATCAAGGATTGGATTAACTGTGAAATTTTTTTTGAGAAATAAGCACACTACTTTAGTATTAACGCTTAAAATTAGATTGATAGAATATGTTTTTTTCGATAAATTTTATAAAATTGGATTTAGAATTTATTTATTTGATCCTTATATTTTATCATTAAATATTTGCAAATAAAATTAAACATTTTTAAATGCAGTCAATTAATTAATAAGTGTGAACTTAAAATGAAGCTAATTTGTAGTGGTAGAACTCAAAATTATTAGTGATTTTTTGTCAAATAAAACAAATAATTAACTATATTCTTTTTAAAAAAGAAAACTTTAATAACTACTAAAAAACAATTATACACAACAATTGAAACTGAAAAAACTAATAAGGAAATATATTTTACTAATGTAAGAAAAATGTAACGTTATTCATTATGTAAATAATAATAATAATATAAAAACGCTAATATGCTAGCTCATTGAACTGTATGTTATCTTCAAATATTACATATTTAACTTTTATTATTGTTGCTTTATAAAACAAAAATCAAGGTTAACAATATTTTATAGCTACGTAAATTTTTAGTAAGACTATTTAGGATTGGATTAACAATGATAATTTTTTATATGAATTTTTTTTATAAAAAATGTATAAAATTGTTGTATCTAACTTGTCACGTAAAAAATCTCCTACTTATAATTTTTGATAAATAGGCGTAGTAATTTAGTATTTGACTGTTAAATTTAGATTGATGAAATATTTTATATTTTATAAAATTTATTAATTTGATTTGAAATTAATTTATTTCACCCTTACAAATTTTCTTCTAATGTTTTTTTGTAAGTCAAACTAAATATTATTAAATGCAATCAACTGATTAAAAAATTAAAGTAGGTAATTTTCCAACTTCGAAACCAGATTATTATTATAATCATTGAATCATTTTCTGATCAATTCAAGTTTCATGAATGAGCTATTGTTATGCAGGTATATCATTTACTATGTTGTCATCGTATTGTTATGAGTTATTCGTTTGTACTTTTTAAATGTGTTTTCAATTAACAAATACGTTGAAAAATAATATTTCATAACTTTTAAAGAAAATATAGAAAAACTTATCATCTATGTTATGTATATAAAAATTATCTAACATTTCTATCATGTAAATTTGAGTTTTTTATGCAAATTGACTTTATTATTTGATAATTGAGAAACATTTTAATTATAATATGAATTATTTTTAAATTCTGATGACCAGTATTTATTATATTTATTAATTTTTTAATTTTCTCTCTTTTTATCACATTGTAGATCATGTTTATTAACCTTTTTTCTATCTTTGTTCTTTTTTTCAAAATATATACTTAAAAATTAGCGAATATATTTTTTAAAATTTATATAATATTGTATTTTAACTCCATAACTTATTTTTAATAACATAAATTATTTATTTACATAATAATTGAAAATTTATATTTACATGATTAAAAAAATTTTAAAATATAATGAAATATTCTTCTTGCATTAAAATATATTAGTTAGTTAAAATAATATTTTTTTTACTTTGATTAAATATATAAAATTGATGTATTAATCTTTAGAAGAGCATTGCTATACAGAACATACAAAAATTGGTACAAAACGGAAAGAAATGACGGAAATCACGTGGGCCATGATCTGTGTTGCTAGAAAAATTCCATACTACCCAGCAAAACTCTTTAGAATCATTGACAAAAAGAAAGGTAAAATTTACGGTGACTTCAGAATTGAGGGCCATATAATACCATCTTTACGTGTTCTATAAATAATTTTATATTTAAAAGTTTATAAAAAAATTATTTGCTCATTAACCTTTAAAAATATTTCCTAACTGTTCTCACTAAATAATCTCTTAATTTAAAATTTGAAGGTTAATAGTATTATATCACAACTCTTTCTTTTCAAATTTTAAATTATATTTTTCATTCCAAACCTTATGCTTCATCTGAATATTCCATTGCCACCACCAGACGGTTTAGTGGTTTTACCCGCTTACCATAAGTTTTCAATAGCTTGCAAATTAGATTTAATGTGATCCTAAAATTCATATGATACTTTTATATTCATATTTGTAATTATATAGCTACAAAATAAAGAGGCTTAGCTTAATTTAGTTTTGGAGCTTATATTTTGGCTATAGGTTGGGAAGTCCATTAGACTTCAGGGTGAAATTTCTTGTATTTTGTTGGGCTTTATATTAGGGCATATATTTAGCACAGTCCCTATCCCTTTTCTTTTCTTTGTTGTGGCGGCTCATTAGAAATCTTTTTGAGCTTTGAGCTAGCTTACTAATATATAGACTAAATTTCTTTATAAATTTTTATATTAAAATTATTTGATACATTCTTAGTATTTATTTCTTTTTGAATGAGTAAGTTTTTCTCTGAATTTTCTCATTAAAAATTTTAGAACCACACTCTTATCATGGATTCTTCCATGTGATGAGTGCATTTGTGCTTATCTCCAATCCTTTGGAGTGGCATGCTGCATTTTTTTTTCCATTCTCCATACTTTTCACTTTCTTTTCTTCTTTCTTTGGTGTTGGATATGTGGATTTTCCCATATATCAAGCCAAAATCGTAATTAGATCTAATTCTTTAATCTTTCTTAAAGATCTCTTTAAGAAACACATTAAGATTATAATAACTTAACGATAACTTGAAATTGTCTATACACAATTACAATGCAAAATTCTTATGATTGACAATAACTTGAACCATACTTTAATCTCTAATTTTCATTCACTCTATCAAGCTTTACTTTTTTTCATTTAAACTGGAATATCTTATTTGGTAAAATTTGGTATTTATATTTTGTAACGGACAATTTACAATTTTTTCATTTAAAACTATGGAATTTAATTGACAATCTTGAACAATTTTTGCAAGTCTTGTTCAAAACAATACCTTTTACATCTCCAATTTGTTTCAATGGCTGTGTCCTTTTTCTTATCTTCTATTTCAGACATATTTTTAACAAGTTTTACTTTAAAGGTGTTGTTTTCTCTTCACATTTTTTTTTATCCTCAAATTTGTTTTAAATGAAGCATAATTATAAATATTAAAGACGTGTTTATTTCACTTTTTTTTTAATCGTAATACATAATTGGAGACATCTTCAGGTTAAGTTTAAAATAGACATATTTAGTGTTGTTTAGAAAAAGTCAATTTTTTTAGCAGTTTACATTAAAGTGAATGTATAAACAAATACACTTGATATTGGCTTTAGTTGAAGACTCAAAATTAAAGCCTGTGCATTTTATTTAATTTACTCCTGACTTTGACAACTTTATAAAGTACTATATCACCTTGTCTTGCTAGAATTAACTATCATACTACATACTACGATGCACTCATGCTTAAAATGTTAAAATCCTTGCACATTAAGAATGGTGTTCATATGTATAGCTATTGTAATTTGGGAATTAAGTGGGATATTGTATTTTATTTTATTTGTTTGTACATATAAATTAAAACTAAGAGAGTTTAAGTAGTGTAAACTACATGATGTCTCACTATTTAGTCATTACTCCTATTATATACTTTTTTTAAAAAAATATTGATATAACATGTGAACTTAGAATGAAGCTAATTTATAGAAGTAGAAACTAAAGGTATGTTTGTTTTCCATTTTTAAAAGAGTTTTCAATTTTTTTTTTAAATATAGTATAAAATTTATACCATATTTAAAAAAAAAATTGAAAAATCTTTTTAAAAGAGAAATCAAACCTATCCTAATATTTTAATAATTTTTTATCATATAAAATAAATGAATAATTAATTATATTCTTTGTATAAAAAAAATTATAATAACTGCTAACAAAATTGTGCAAAGACAATTGAAATTGAAAAGATAAAACTAAGAAAAAAGTTTATTTTACTAAAGTAAAAACAATGGAATAATAATAATAATAATTTGAATAATTTGTAAAGACACTAATATACTCACTCACAGGACTTTAATTTTAATTTCATTTCATTATTTGAATAATAATAATTTGATAAATTTGTAATACTCACTCCAAGTATTATAAATTTAATTTCATTATTTTGTTGCATAAAAAAATTAATGCTAGCAATATATTTCATAGTTATGGTATCTAGATTGGATTACTCATGACTTTATATAAAAATAAATAAATAAAAAAGAATATAAAAAATGTTGCAACTAACTTTTTTTTTTTATAGGTAAAATATATATTATTAAAGAGAGTTTAAGAAGAACTCAAATTGGAAGATGTAATATATATATATATATATATATATATATATATATATATAAAATATTTACTTAGCTTAATAACTTATTTCAAATTCTAAATTTCACTAATACAATTTTTAAATTGTTATATTATTTTGATAATTATGCATATTAAATTTTAAATAAATTAAATATTGGTAGAAGTTTAACTTTATTGTCAAAATTTGTTTGTTATTTAATAAAGTATATTATAGGTTAAAATAAATTTGTTTGTAAAATATTAAATAATTTTAAAATTATATAAAATTTTATAATTTTAATTTACTTAATTAATGTGAAGTCCTAATTCAACATATAGATTAAATTATATATAAAATAA